GATGGCTGGGGTCAGCTGTAAAGTCTGTCAGCCCTCGAGGGTCACTTAATGTTTTCACATCTGACTGTTATTGAAGCATGACCGAACACCTCTAAGCGAGGAGCTCAAACCCAGTGCTGGACTTCCTAGTGTCCCCGGCAAGACACATGACACACAAATACAGCCCTTCATTTATTAGTTTAATTTATGGTGCTTTTTGTATATGGAACAGGAGGACAACAGGTAGCTTTAGCTGTCAGGTCAGTGACTGTGATAGTGCTAAATATGAGAAAAAAAACCCAGCCCACTTTAGTTTACCATCTTGTCATAATTATTCATGGAGGAATACACTGCATATTTTGTAAATACACTAATGCTTGTGTAGAGGTACTGATGTGTAAAGGGCTGCCAAGATGTGCTTTTTTTTAAAACCCCCAGGCATCATCTTGAGGAACAATGAATTCTCTATGAATATTACATTTCTTACAAATGAGATGCCAATTATTATTTTTTTATCAACAACTTCCATCCCTCTGTAACTAAGAACAAAGTGATGATCACAAAGAGGACACACATATCTCGCATACACCCTTAATATGCAATCAAGCAAAATGTCAAGCTTGCTTTGTGCTGACACCCACAAGTGATAATTGTGTAAACAAAAAGCTCATCATTCATTCAAATATTATAGAGAAATAGATGAAAAGCGATAACAAAAGAATACAACCCGCACCGAGTACACAAGTGTATTGAAACTGAAAGGAGAGCGCTGCGTTGGGTGTGACTCATTCAGAAGCTATCTGATTATTTTAAAAATTTCACCAGCTCTCTTGGGATTTTTTTCTAACCTAAGATGTTATTGTAGTAGTTTAAAAGTGTTTGTGTTTACACATCGGACTCCCAAGCTGGGCAACTGTTAATGGAAGATGAGGAGGGTGGGGGCTGAGAGGAGGGTTAGAAAACGAGGAGGAGGGTTGAGGAGCGAGAGGAGCGAAGATGTCGTGAGGCTTATTGGGGCCAACAGAGGGCATTGTTATCTATAATATCCATTCACATGTGCTGTATCAGATGCAGCGAGTGCGGCGCTTCTCAGAGATGGAAATTAGTCTTGTTCCCCACTCAGCCCTGGTCACACCAAGGGCGCATCAGACAAATGAATTTATGCAGACAATACATATGCAACGCTGATGATACAGAGGGTCGTGCGAATGGCTGAAAGAGTGGTGGGATTTGAGAGATCCGCCTGTCAGTTTGTGATTCAACCTGATCTCACTTCTGTCCACATAAAACTAAAAAACTGTCAGCATTTCATTTCCGTGCAGCTTCAGGGTGAATTTCATGTTTTGGCTGCTCCTGGCATGAGAAAATCACACAATGACTACAACTAAACTAAAGCCAACAATAACAAATGATAACAAATCTTGCACACTGCATGTTGCATGTTAATCTGCGCTGGGGAAGGCAAAAGTGGGAAGGAAAAAAACCCTTTTACAGGAAGAGACCCTGAGGGAGAGGCAGCCCTGCTGTGAGCAACTTAGAATTGAGTGGAGTAAGAAAGGACAAAGACAGGCTGTGGAAGAGAACCAGAGGTTAATAATAACTAATGATTCAATTTAAAGTGGTGTATAAACACATAGAGAGTGAAGAAAAAATATACAGTGATTCATGGGATGCTTCCAGCAGCCTAGGCCTTTTGCAGCCTAACTAAGGGAGGATTCAGGGTCACGTGATCCATCCCTAACTATATGCTTTGTCAAAAAGGGAAGTTTTAAGCCTAATATTTAAAGTAGAGAGGGTGTCTGTCTCCCGAATCCAAACTGGGAGCTGATTTTACAGAAGAGGGGCCTGAAAGCTGAAGGCTCTGCTTCCCATTCTACTTCTAAATACCCTTGGTACCAAAAGTAAGCCCACTGTCTGAGATAGGTACTACGATGGCCTGATTATTTAAGACCTTCTATATGAGGAGAAGGATTTTAAATTTAATTCTGGATTTAACAGGTATAGAAATCTAGAAAAATAATAATTATTAATTAAAAAGAAAAAAGTTCCCAGCCTATAATGGCTCCATTCCTTTGATACACCCTTTTCTGTAAGAGTGTGAGACATAATCCAGCATGGCGCGTGGATCATATCTTCTTTTCAAAAGTGTTTTAAAATACTTTTGTTTAATCTAGTGTACCATGAACAAAATCTTTCTAGAAGAAAGTCTTGCACCTGGCAGACATCCTGGCAACGCCTGTGGGCAGTTATTTCAGGTTATCAAGGCCAAATCTGTACTTAAATGAACGGAAAAAAACACATAATTTATATTGGCAGACATAACACCTTCTTATACCACTTAAAACTACTTAAAAAGTGTGCCAAACCCATGAGCGCTACTGCAAATGTGCAAATTTGCTCAATCTAGATCAAAATGCCGTGCTTATTTCTGTTAAAGTCACAGGCCATGCTAAAAAAAACAAAATACACTTGCCAACATCTTTAGCAAGATGATGAATAGATAAATGAAACCTCATAAACATGCAGGTGTTAGCACAACAACACGACATGCTCATAATTTTCCTCAGGTGGCAGCTGATTGGCTGTTGTTTTGCTATTCAGCATTCTTTGAGCGTCTCTGTTATTTACAATGCAATAAAACCTAACAACACAGATTGTTTTGATATAGATCTTTGTTTTATTTTATTTATTAATTTTTTTCTTTACATGAAATCGATAAAACGGTAGAGCTGCTAAGAAAATGAAAACATCATTTCGACTTGAATCCCCTCTCCCCTGAATTGATTTGGCAGACTTTGTACAGTAGCGAAGCTCACTCTTCACTGCGATAGTCCAGATAGGAGCGCGGCTCACGCTATCTCAGTATCTTCTGAGTGATCTCGCTGAGAGACACTGTGAAGTGTAGAGGACATAAATCTTATATATTTACGACCTTTGCTGTAGTCAGCTATCTGTTAGGATACCCAGCCCCTCTACTTCTCCTGATCTTGTCTGTGCAAGGTCTAGGTGCTTTTGATAGTGTTCCCACATGGCATGTGATAATGGATGGTGTTTCTCAATCAGTCTGTTGCATCATAGGTTGCACACCAGTCAAAAACAAGTTTTGTTTTTCTTTTTTTCAGGCGTGGCGTTCCAGACAAAGGCTGAAATTTGACACTGGAAACCCCAAACTTAGGTGTCTTTGTCTGGCTATTGTTATGTTGTTGATTTTTTTCTTATTTTTGAGCTGCGCTTCGTTTGTGTTTAAACTCGTGTTTCTGCTCAATAATAGAGTGAGGCCAATAATTGGGTGTTGCAAATTGTCATCTCACAACAGTCCACTTCTATTACCACAGCCGAAGCGTTAATGTCCTGTGACAGCACAAAAATAAGTAAAGAAAAATGTGTTGACACATCACCCCCCCACCCCCCCTTACACACCAACACAAAATGAAAAAGTGGGAGAATCAACCATTCCTTTGGATTCCAATTGAAGGGCTCAGCCATGATTGCGCATGACAGGCCTCGCGAAGAACCACTGACCCATCGACTGCCGTGATCCATGTCTGACTGACATCGATACACATTCATCTCTGCTTGTTTCACCTCAGGCTAGTGGGCCACAGGCTGCAGTGGCTGGCACGAGATCTGGGCGGACAACAAGCATCACTTTGTCTTCGGCGCTGACGCCGTGACTGACATCAAACACCACAGAGGCCAATCTGATGGACCTTTTTGCTTTGTTGTGAATCAGCCACTGTTAAAGGGGCCCCCAAAATGTCACTGGTCATTGTATCTTATATTCGTTAACCCTCCATTACTCACTAATATAGGGGTAAGTCCGCCTTAGGGTCCTCCAGGGGAATTACAGCAATCTTATATGTGACTCAGTAGACAATGCTGCGGGGATAGGTGGATAAATCCATTGTTAGTGTCTTTCTTCCTGCTTCCTCCTCAGTGTATCTCCAGCACACACGCACACACACAAACACACACACACACACATCAGATTAGCAGAGATCTCTACACTGTTGTTTTAATTTTGCCTCTATAGCAGCTTCATTAACATTCACAACTAATGCTTTGTTCCACTGGGTAAATTCCTGTACAGAGCCTTTCTTAAGTCATCTCCACTTTCATTTCTTATGAATCAGTGTTAGTGCAGCAGCCACTGCCACAACCTCCCCCCTCCCTCTGTCTTCTGGGCCCTTTTTAATTATAAACCAATCTAGAGAGGTAATCACAGACAGCATGATTAGTTACTCATAAACATATGCATATATGACATATAGTAGTTTATTGCTTCTTTGAACCTATTTACAGCCACTGGGAAGGGTGTGGGGGACCTTAATGCCACTCCAATTAGCCATAAGGATGAAACGTTACCCAGCTGACCAAATAGTTTGGCCGAGAGAAGAAGAATCTCTCATTTCAGTATTTAGTAAATGGGCTTTTTGTGGTATGCTATATAGGTCTGAGGTGAGGGCAGCAGGAAAGCAAGGAGCCTGTTCATTTTTCTTTGCTGCCAAAGTCATTTCTTTGCCTTCAGAATGCAGCGCTGAAAGGTGCTTTGTGGTTTTCATTTCATGCAGCCTTTAAACATTATTGAAGATGCGATTGCTGCTGAGTGGCAGCAGTGGAGGATGGAACTGGATCCTCAGACTGATGAGCGGTCTAATAGGCCTGTCTAATGTATCATCGATGGATTGAGTGCCGTCTCGGAGGAGACATTTTAGAGGGATTCCAGCAGATGAATTTCAGATTTAAAGATAAATAAATAAATAAAATAAAATACTTTGCTGCTGCGTGTGAGCCAGCCTGGATATTGGCCAGGAGAAAGACGCCCTCTTCTTGCGCAGCCTGGATGTGCAATGAGGATTTATTCCAAGAGGAATACAGACAAGCAGTTATATGCTTCACATGGTCTCACTGTCCTCCCCCCTTCTCTCGCTCTCCCTCCCTCCCTCACCCTCTCTCTCTCTCTCCTCAGCCAATCTGTGCACTGTGACGCTGCGCAAAGGCAGGATCTAGCTTCGGCTTCATCATCATATTTAACACACCCACCCAGATTCACACATTCTACAAGAAGTGCGATCTCTTGTCCCGCTGTACTCCTAAAGGTTGCCCGGCCCCGGGAGGTAGGGAGATTTCGGTCTCCTGTTACCTTACTCCTTTGGCTCGCCTCTGGTGGTTTGACGGCTCTCGATGTGGCAGAATTACGCATCCCGGATCGCTTATAGGTGAATTGGAGTAAACACGTCGACTACTTCCCGGGGACTTTCCCCCAGAAACAACACTTAAATGTGAAGAGCTGCACTTCTCGTGTGTCTGTTCCGGGCTGACGTCCCGGCTAACCCAGGCCACTCTTCCTTGCGCAGGCTGGTCGGTGAGATCGATGCGCGCTGTCGGACCTCTCGGGCACCGACGTTTAACGGATCGTTTTCTCTTCTTGTCCCGGCTGCTTCACTCGTCTTGTAGCCTGCATTCCCTCTGATAATTTTACTGGCGGACAAGGAAAGGAGACCGGGGCCAGTGCAAAGAGGATGAGGCTTGAGCAAATCGACCGTTGGTCTGAAGCGACTCGACCTGTTTTACCTGGACTCGTGCGGATGGTTTGGCGCTTCGGGGATCTCGCCTAAAACCCACAAGCAGGACTCTGATGTTGAAAATACAAAGGCTGAACACTGAATCCTTTACTCAAGACGGCAAGCGAAGATGGGTCCTACGTGTTTAATGTGTATTTCATTAGATTGGCGTCCAGTCTGATAAACATCATCAGCGATGTAGTCAGCCTGTTCATCTGCGTGCTGATCATTTGCAGTAAGTACTCACATCTACTCAAAAGGGAGACCATGAAGATGATTCTCCTGCGCAAATTCCGGGTTTTGATCCTCATGGTGTTCCTAATTGCATGCTCCATGCACATCATGATAGACTTGTTACCAAAGCTGGAGAGGCACGGCAGCACCGGCTGCTCCTGCTCGCACACGCCGAGCGAGGAGCCAAAGAGCTGGGGCAAGCAGGGTTGGCCTAACAAACACAGTCTGCGGATCCTCCAGGACTTCAGCAACGAGCCCAGCTCAAATGTTTCCCTGCACTCCCTAGAGAGGGTCCCGGTTGCAGGAGATAAATCCCAAGCTTTCAGGAGACTTGACCATCACGGACAACGTGGTGACAGGAAGAGGCAGTTCATGCAGGACGCCGGGGTTGACAAGAACGTCCCGGCTAAAGGTTCAAGGCTGTCAGCTCTGTATGACCATCCTTTATATAAAACGTCGTTGCCGCCTTTGACAGACGAGGACACGCTGTTCAACGTCAACACGGACATTAGATTTGACCCCAAAGCAGCAGAGGATCAGGCATGGTAAAGTGTTTAAAGCCAAACTTTAATGCAACAAAACCTACAAATAAATATTTCATAATTTCTTTGAACATTACAGTAAAGTTCAGTCATGTGCAATAATAAAGTAAGAACATTACAAGTAACAGGAATACTAATAATAACAATCTCTACCTCTCTGTTCTCTCCTTGTCCCTCTTCTTCTCTCCAGGGCTGGGGAGAGCAACATAGACGAGTTCAGCCAGACTGGGGAACTGACAGCCGATTCCTACCCCAACTGGCTCCGCTTCCACATTGGGATTAATCGATACGAGCTGTACTCCAGACACAACCCGGTCATCGATGCTCTTCTGAAGGACCTGGCTACCCAGAGGATCACCAGCGTGGGTGAGTCATATAAGTCAGCACAGGGGGGCAGCTTGATCGAAACAAAAACCAGCAGGTGGGCTTCAGTGAACAGATGGAGGGTCAAAATTACATTTGGTCTGAAGACACCATGTTGACACTGCAGAAAACGTTTCTCACTTATTTTGGGCTGACATGCGTCACTGCAGCGTGTGTGGATTAAATCTGTGCATTTTGCAGCTGAAGGTGAAAGAGCTCAGCCACCTTTCCGGTGTCATTTGGTGAACCGCTAAAACGAGATTATAGGGAGTGCGGTGTCTTACTTCAGAACTGGCTGATAGGCCAGTGTCTGCTGATGGACACAGATACCGATTGTTGTGCTCATGGTTTAAAACCTGTGCAATCCAATAAAGATATCGCTTGTGATGACTGGGTCATCACAAACATGTCTCATTTTTAATTACAGTTTACACAGTTCTCCTCTTTCCTGGCATTTTAAAATAATGACCTGTTATTAAATGGCTTAACTAGTGTGGCCAATGCCGATAAGCAAACACAACAGATGCCGATATTGCTGGTGAGAAAATTATAAGTACAGTTTTTAAGTCCTTCCTTTCTGAATGTTAAGCTAGCACAAAAATTGATATGTTAAGAATCAAGAAAACTCTTTTCCTTTCAGGTTAAGAAGGCCAACATCGACCGATGCTGATGTCTTTCCACAAACATTTACAGAGCTTTAACCTAAATAACCTCTATTTAAGCAAGAAATTTTTATTTAAGTGTATGCGTGATGATCCTCTGGACTTCTATTATACATGTTTAAGTTTTGGAAATCCAAAACCATGATCACAGTGGATAGAAAATAATCTTACAGGAGCAGATAAAGCTTCAAGGCTGCTTGCTGGGATAAAAACGAAGCCTAGTTGTGACTGAAGTGCCTTTTATTGATCATCACTTTTCAGTCGCTGCATGCTGAGCCTGTTGAACTGACAGCTCTGTAATGCTCAGCTCTGATTCCCTCTACACTACTGGGTGGAGTTATTATGTGAACAACTGTTTAACACCACCTGAAGCGGAAAAAGGGACGACTGTATCTAAAATTATTTCATCGGCGAGGCCCAAAATACAGCAAGCCGCACAAAACAAATTTCCTCTGCACGCTCGCGTAAGCAGCCCAAGTTGGGCCGGCGGTTGTGAGGAGGGGCTGCTAACTGACTGCGAAGCGTGCTCCTCGATCTCAAAGTTGTACACACAAGCGTGCATGAAGATGGAAGCGAGCTGCGGGCGCTGAATCCGATCAGCTCGCACGCTCCCGCCTCACAAGGCTGAAGGTATAATATAACACCCCGGTCTCTTCTCATGTATTTCCACAAAAGCGTCGCAGTGGAATACATCAAGCCCGAGAGAACACCTGGTCTCGATGCAAATCACACAGCTACACTGCCGTTTGAATCAAATCAAACTCAGACTTTTTATTTGATTGGCAGGTGGGCCATAAACCTAGCAGAACTCCTAGAGAACCCCTAAATACTTGAAGAAAGTGTCAGTAGATACCTGATAGAGGTGATAATGTGTTGGGTCATCTGCCTATACTGAACCTAAATCTTTCTTTTTACCTTCTCTCTCTGTTTTTTTTTTTTTTGTTCCTGCTTGGCTCAGTCTAGCTTCCTCATTCCAAGAGTGCTTGTTGACCTAAGGTCTCCTATCATTAGCTCGCTGTAAAAAGGTAGATTCCCAGATTTCAGGTTTTTCTGCCAGTGACTAAAATCTAAGTGGTCTGCAGCAAAGATTAAAAAATTGTTGGGGATGCTGTATACTTATGAAACTAGCCTTCATGCAGCATAACTAGCAGAGGAATATCCTTCTTTTCTGTTGTTCTAGTCAGGACGCTCTCTAATTTTCTCAGATTTTTCTTCCTCTTGCTTTCTGTCTGTCGGCCTGGGTGGATAGCGGAAGCAGTTCTCAGCATCTCTTGCCAGTTGAATACATGGTGGCTCAGTAATTACAGAGTCTTAGCACAGGCCTCAGGCAGGCTACCAATAGAAGCCAACAGTAGTCATCTATTATCTCAAATTCGGCATAGGAGATCTTGGATGTATTATATGAAGACCGAGCATGGAAAAGAGGACAATATCGAAGCTGATAGGATGAACCTGTAAGCTCACAGCCCGAGCAGAGACACAGGTAAACGCTTTGCAACACGGCAGGCTCGGTGAATACGGTTTGCTCGCTGAGAGTGGAAGCTGAAACATTATTTTCATGGCCCCTTGCATGCATGAGTTCCTAGCGACTACAGTCAGGGGTATCCATTATTTGAGATATCCCAAATGTCTGCACAAGCACACACACACACAGCTTTGCACAGCAGCAGGTGGGGGGGCAGATGGACACTGATCTTTCTGCCTCTATTTTTCTGTAAACAGTCTGCTTGTCGTCATGATTCATGTATGTAAACATAAATGAACACATTGATAGAGGAGGTCGTTCTCTGGCAACGCGCCACCGAAAAACAGCCTCCAGTCGATCAGTGTGTAGGAAATAACGGGCACTCTGTCATCTCTGCTCCCTTTTTTTTTTTGGTGAATTTCAGTTTGGTTTTCTGCTGTCATTCTGGCACCAGCTAGTCCCATGAGGGCCTTTAGACTGCATTATCGTGTTCAAAAAGGGAGAGAACATGAAAGATGGAAGGATGAATAAAAAAACACAAAGACACACACAGAAACAGCAACAGAGGGACAGACCCCCAGGAGAATACTGGGGAGGGAGTAAACAGCAGAGGAGCAACGAGCACTGGATGCGCACTGGGTGTCCTTCACCCTCTCGCTATCCTTTGCCATCAAACAAACACTGTAACATCAGCTCTCTGTCTTTTTTGAGTTCAAACACACAAACATAACTGGCTTAGAAAAGACACATTGCCACCACTCGTATATGAGCTTACATATGCAGCGGGGCTCTTCACTTAAATAGCAGAGGAGATTGATGTTTCTGCTGTGCTGTGAGATGTCGCTCAAGTGTAAATCAAATCATTCCCATTTAAAACAAGATCATGCCTAATCCATCTACAGGTTTGCTAAATGTAAGCAGAACATACTTCAAATTTATGATGTATGAGAACAAAGGGTGCAAAGTCTGTTGCTGTTAAGGAATTGCATTAATACACATGTATGGTTAGTGTTACTATGTGTGAAATGACTAAATAAAGTTAGGTGACAAGTGTTTTTAAATGCAAGTTTACTATATGCATTTAAAAAGATGACATTTGGTTCTAAAGCATAAAGAGAGACATGCTGGCAAAGTGGATAACACTGTTGTATCGCAGCAAGAAAGTTCCTGGTTTGAACCCCGGCTGGGGTCTTTGTTTGCATGTTCTCTTTTGTTGTGTTTCCTTTGGTAAATCAAAGGCATGTATGTTAGGTTCATTTGTGAGGTATATGTGCTTCAAGTGTATAAAGTGCTGTATGAAGGTGTGTTTAGGTGAGCCCTCATTACTAGCTTTGTTGATGTGTAAATAGCTTAGTCTTAATATTTAGACAAGAGAGTGATATTGAGTTTTTCCCCCTACAATGGTAAATTCTCTCTTTAAAACATAAGGCAGTGTAAAAGACATTAAAACAGTTTCCTATAATGAGCAGACTAATCTTTGACTGTGCTGCTTTAGGGAGAACGTTTTTCAGTAAACTTTGAAAACAGTGAGCACAGACTTGATTTAAATTTTCTTAGAGCCAGAGTTCAAAACAAGTACAGTATAATCAAATGGAAATTAGCTATGCTGCAAACTTGGAATGGGCAAAAGTTGAACACTGGCTATGACTTATTCTATTTATGTATTTATTCATTGTGATATGCAAGCTTACTGAATTAGCTGAGCTAAAAACTGTACCTAGCTTAAGTTAAAATTTTGCGGCTTAGCTAGCAAAAGTAGCTAACACCACTAGCTAGTATCTAGCTAGTCAAGCGAGATATTAGCTAGTCAGTATAGATAGATACTTTACTGAGGTTAATTTTTATGTTACGGCAGCAGAGTAGATCATTCAAAATAGTGTAGTCTACAATAAATAAACAATATAGTTTAGTGAAAGTGTCACAGGCATTTAATGAGCGCTTTTATACTGTGAGATACCTGAAAAAAAATATTTATACACAACAATGATTATTAAAAACCAAAATAAAAAATAAAAGTGAAGTTAAGTTAAAAAAAGAGTAAAAAGTAAGAGTTAGATTGTGCGAGAAAGTAGTGCAAACAACATTAATAAATAATATGTGGGCTATAAATTTTAGAAAGAAACTTAGAAACAGTAGCAAGAAGGTATGATTCAGAAATTTAATGGGAGAAATTTTTGATTTAACTAAAACCGATATACAGTGGGTCAGTTTATCTCAGGGCAGGACTCATTTCTTCAACATACCCGCAAAACATGTGTAGCTAATATCAGTTGAAGTTAATAGCGACCTTGTCTGTTTGACTCCAACAGCAATGAAATCTGGAGGCACTCAGCTGAAGCTCATCATGACCTTCCAGAACTACGGACAGGCACTATTCAAACCCATGAAGTAAGTTTTTTTTCTCATTTTGAGATGTGCGTTCCTGCTAACCTTACATTTCTCCTGCTCGACCACACATGAAGCAGCGTTGACCCTGCTCTCTTTAAGAAAATAAAAACCAAACAAAAAAACGACCTTCTTCATATGGTATTAAAGCTTGAGTGCCATTTCAGCATAAAACACGAACTGTGCAGCTTTCTGCCTTGGCTCACTTCCTTTTTTTCCGCATCTCACCACCTACCCATTCTCCTCACAACATCAATCTCATTTCCTCATTCTCCTTTCTGGCAATATCAAATTGCTTTCATTTCAGCACAACCTTGATATTAGATTGAAGGCCGACATCATTCTGCTGTGTCAGAGCCAAATGTTGAATAGGCATTTCACCTCTCGCAGCTTTAGGATGACACATCACATTCTTCAGTGGCCATGTTGGAGGCCTTCGGCTCTCAGCCTGAGACATTTTGTTACTGATTCCATCTGATTAGTTTTCCGTGTCCAGATATTATCGCACCATCTACTCGAGCTAAATGCCCCTATCTTGTTCTCAGCATGTGATCCACATGTAAGCAGACACCGTTGATCCAGCTTATCATAATCCAGTAGAAATGTATTGTTGCTGATATTTGCCTGTCTAGACTATTTCATCTTAATAGATTGTTGGTGATTGTTGGCAAGATTGAGGTAGGGATCAGGATCATGGCTGTAGGGGTGGCAATGTTGGTTGGTTCACCTTTTGGTCAAACTTTGGTCCAGAGCAAAGGTTAAACAAGGCATTTGTAAATACTAAGACTACTACTAACATCCATGGCTCCCAGATGACAAATCCACACTAAAGTACACCAGCAGGTCAATTTTTTTGTACTAACTACTAACTGAATTGCCACAGAACCTACTGTCATGATTCGTGTAAGAGAAAGCGTGATGGATATTTTGGATGTTTGCATGACATCTTCTTTTCTTCTTGGACTGAAGTGCACATTACCTTGAAGCGGGTACAGACACTCCCCTCTCTTTGATGATGAGCTTTAATTACTTTGATAACCTTCTTTCTTCATTAGGTCAGAACTTTTTTTCAATTTGTTCCAAGACTAATACCAGTAGCAAGTTTAAGGGTGGTGATAAAGTTATAAGCTGCCACTTTTCCGTCTTCACTGGTTCTTGAGAGCAAGGCCGGTCTTGAAGCAGTACTGTCCATAGATTTATTCCTTAGGTTCTTTTGTAGAAAAAGTCAGCTAACATGCTAAAAATGACATCATAACTTCCAAACTGTAAGCTTGGACCTACCCAATAGGTTATATGTGAAGATATTTATATTTCTATCATAAAACTGAAGGCGATGGGCTTTCATGCCCATGTGAAGTGGTGCCACAATTCCTGTGAGCCTTATGGTTCAGCCACAAAGCCTCTGTTCTTTGCCTCATTTCTGTTTTTAATCTTATTCCACTTGTGAATCAGTGAACTACAGTAACCTGTATTTACCTGTGCAGACAATTTTAAACCCCTTTGGCCTAACCTGTAAATGTCTACCCAGTGGTTCCCAGCTGCCCCCTTTGGCCCACATACTGTGAAATATTTTATTAATTCACTTTTCCTTTGTCTGCACCATCATATTTAGAAGAGAATGCATCTTGTGAAGAGTGCTCCTAATTCCACATCAATTGATGGATTTAAATGTCACCCGTCCTTTGCTGTTGTGATTGTGATTTAATTGTGGGTTAATGGTTCTCTACGCGGGCTGTTTTTCTGGCCCCTGCATGTCAGTTTGGAGAGCGGGGTTAAGCCCGCGGATGATAGGTAGGAGGGAGGGAGGAAAAGCTATTCAGAGACTGTTGTAATTACTGTTTCGGTCGCACCCCACAAAGTCAGGCCAGACGCAACAAGCCTGAAATCATCCTTGACAGGCGGGGGAAAAGCAGAGATAAGAATGAGGAGAGAGGAGGCAAAGGATGAGAGAGAGTCTAGGGAGGTGAGGTGGGGCGGATTGGGGAAGACAGGGGGTAGGAAGGAGAGACAGATGAAGAGACGTGGGGAGAGAGCGTTGTCAATACATGCACGGAGTCCAAATCCACAGATTATCTCGGTGCACTGCCTCGAATTTGAACCCAGGCGCAAAATGTGAAATGACATTTTCCGAGAAAAGCACGGGCCGATGGTGTTGGATGTAAATCTGCTGCTTGACACTCGTGGCTGTCGGAGCCGCTGTGATGTTTGATAATCCTGAAGAACGGCAGGAACAAAGGGGAGCTATTTCATTTCCTCCAACTTGAATGCACTTGTCCTTAACAAAATAGGGCAACCCATGCAGACATGTGCGTGTGTGTGTGTGTGTGCTCATTTGGGCTGCAATCAAGTTCTTGACAGATTTGCACAGTCATTCCAGCTATGTACATCATTTCCCTCACAGAGATCACACATGACACACACAGACACTCAAAAAAACCCCACACACACATCCACTTAACACTCAACATCATCCCGTCGTTCCCAAATCTGCTGGTGTGTTTCCACACGGTGCATCAAAGAGACAGAGGCTGAGAGATCAAAGACTTCTCTGGCTGCGCGCTTCTGCCTGACTCCTCTCAGCTCTAATGCAAATGTGTGCCAGGCAATCAGGCAGCGAAAGGCAGGCAGGCATGCATGCAGTGTATGGGGTAACGATCGACCCTCCAACCATCCATATCTGTGTAAAACTGCACTCTCACTCCTCCTCTCTATATGGTTATCAGCTCTTCTGTCTCTTTCTCACTTTTAGTATTCTCCATCATTCTCCTCCTCTGTGCATGCAACACTGTCTGCCGTGTGTTTTTCTCTCTTTACTGAACAGCAGAAATGCAGAAATCCATTAACAGGCCTTCTGTATCGATCCTTTAGGTATTCTTTCCCCTGTTTTTCCCCTCAGTTAGAGTCAATATCAGATGCCACGGTCAGTATTTCTTTATGCATTTGGAGAAGCAAAGTACGCCTCAGTGTGTACTTGAATGTGGCAGATATTTATTTAGCTTCTTGCTGTACTGGGTCACCACAAAGTGGCCTACAGTATCTGTCTGTACTGATGCAATAGGGATGAATCAGACCATTAAATCTGCTGTCTGTGGCCCAGCTTTCCAGACATGAAATAAACCCAGTCTTAACTAGTCTAATCTAACTCCAGGGTTATTTTGCAATATTTGTTAAGTCTGTGCTCTCTTGGAGGATCGAAGAGGCTTCACGGGATGTGGCTAAAATCCCAGCTGATGCCCAGCCCTGTGTTGCTTAAGCAGACAGATGAAAACATCTTTGTGCAATGTCTGTAACAACAACTGCATTGTAACCTGAGCACCATTCAGCTGGATGAGTAAGCTCAATTATCATCTTTGTCATCCTCTGCTTTCGTTATGTCTGTGGTCTGGACTGAAAGAACATTGATTTACAGCAATTTCACAATTTCTGCCTTTAGTGCGGCAAAAAAAGAAAGAAAAAAAAAAACTTTTCAAGTTGGATGAGGAGTCAAAAGCTGGTCCTGTGGTCCTGAGACTCATAGGGAATCTTTCTAGAGTGTACAGTGTAGCCTATGTAAGTGATTACATCGTAGGCAATTGCCGACATTTATGCTTGTCCTGGTGCTTTATGTGTTAATTAGTGCGTTATGTCCTGTTGTTTTACATGCGATGGAAGCTGATAGGAAAAAATAACATGCTAGGACTTTATTCCCTCCCTTTTGTTGTGGTAATGTTTTGGGGTGCACATATAATTATGACTCGAGTTTTTCTGCTTTTTTGGACATTCCACATTCCAATATTCTTAACATCTCATTTCAGGAAATTTGCGAGTCCTTATATTGAACCTATGATTATTATTTCTCATCCCGAGGTCTGATTGTTTTTCTCTCACTGATAAATTAAAAAACTGCAGCAAAAAAAAGTAGCTGGAGATGTACAGCAGGAATCGAGGGTGCTGAACAGGCTAATCGCATTCCTCAAACCGACGTGTAGTTACAGTTCCCAGGAGGAGCACATAAGGTTATATCGTATGTTATGTTGTAGGGTTCCTGTAAAGTGGTTTTTAAAATCAGAATTTTTAAAACCAAGAATAAACACCTCACAGGTAGAACAAAGCAAAATGAGACATAGTCACACTGGTTTTGTATTATATGCAAAACCATTCCAACAATTACTGCAAACCATTTCTAGATGCAAAACATCAGCAAAAGCAAAAAAGCCTTAAAAAGATGCATTTGAGCACAAACAGATGCTAAATGACAGCAAAGAAACACAAAATGATCATTAGATGATGGAGGTACCTGCAAATAGATGAAAAATGACCTCAAACACATAAAATTCAAACCTCCAAAGAGGTACAAAGACAGACTTTTGGTGTGTCTTTTGCACTTGTAAGTTGGAGGTTTGTGGAGATTGTGCCAAGTTGTCTAACAGTTAACATCAACCAGTAACCAGTGAGCTGTTTTTTCTTTTAATTATTATTATTATTATTGTTATTATCATTATTATTATTATTATTGTTTATGTTTTACAGTCGTGCTGGCCTTGAACAAAACAATGGACTGCATTTCTGTGGCACTGTGGTAGAGTCATCCACAAAAGCTTCTGCATATGAGATGATAACCTCTCCACCAGGACTGGTTGAGTCATTTTGCCCTGTCGTTTTATATATGAAATGACATCTTTTAACCAAAGTGTGGCACACAGGTACATTTTAGGCCCCTGAAGGTTCTAAATCTGTATTAGAAATCATCACGTTGCCAAGCAACTACATAGCAACAGGATAAAATGATTTGCTTTTAGCATTTATGCACCTATAAAAACATTATATTGTTTTCAATTCACAGCCAACAGCACGAACAAGCCAAACAATGCTACTATGTTAAGTGTAGCTGACCTGTTTGAGTAGGATTACATGATATTTAAAGGATCTAGAATCTTGAAAAATAGTCTAAATGGCAAAATGAGCTGCTTTGAGCTAATAATAATGAATGGTAACTGTGAGCTATACTTAATACTACAGTAAAC